ACACCTGGGACAGTGTGAAGTGTCCCTGCCATGGCAAGGGTGGCACTGGGTGACATTTAGGTCCCTTCAACCCAAACCATTCTATGAGTCCCTCACTGGCCAGGATTTCCAGAGAAGCCTCAAACTGGGATTAACCCTTCATCTTCATCACCAGTTCCATCCTCACTGACCAAATTTGGGATGTGCTCATGGCAGGACCCTCCAGCAGCTCTGGAGAAATGTTCCTGTCCCTGGGAGCTGCCTTGGGGACAGCAGTGTCCCCATGGGTGATACAGGTGGGGTGGCAGGGCTCAATCCCTGCCCAGATGCCACCAGGCCGTGCCAGCTTCTCCTGCTGCATCCCAGGCAGGGCTTGGAGCACCTGGGACAGTGTGAAGTGTCCCTGCCATGGCAAGGGTGGCACTGGGTGACATTTAGGGTCCCTTCAACCCAACCCATTCTATGAGTCCCTCCCTGAGCAGGATTTCCAGAGAAGCCTCAAACTGGGATTAACCCTTCATCTTCATCTCCAATTCCATCCTCACTGGCCAAATTTGGGATGTGCTCATGGCAGAACCCTCCAGCAGCTCTGGAATGTTCTTGTCCCTGGGAGCTGCCTTGGGGACAGCAGTGTCCCCATGGGTGACACAGGTGGGGTGGCAGGGTCAATCCCTGCCCAGATGCCACCAGGCAGTGCCAGCTTCTCCTGCTGCATCCCAGGCCATGGCAAGGGTGGCACTGGGTGACATTTAGGGTCCCTTCAACCCAACCCATTCCCTCCCTGAGCAGGATTTCCAGAGAAGCCTCAAACTGGAATTAAAACCATTCCCATCTCCAATTCCATCCTCACCGGCCAAATTTGGGATGTGCTCATGGCAGGACCCTCCAGCAGCTCTGGAATGTTCCTGTCCCTGGGAGCTGCCTTGGGGACAGCAGTGTCCCCATGGGTGCTGCAGGTTGGGTGACATCACCCATCCATCCCATTTTAGGAACAAGACAAAACCCCCCCTGATTTTTGGAGCCATCTCTTAAAGGGACAGCGCCACCACAGAGCTGTGTGCTCAGGTGGCTTTTGGGGACACCGCTGTGTCGGGTTTTTGCTGTTTGAAGGGCCTGGAAAGGCCCGGGGTGGCCTTGGGGCAGCCCGCGTATCGAAGGACGAGAAGAGGCTTCAGTTCTTCTTTC